GGGGGTAGTTCTAGTGAAAACGACGTTTTTTCAACAATTTTTTTTGCACATTAAAATACAATTTGATAATTTTTTTATTACTATAGGTGTATACATACATTATTAAAGAACACAATTTTTTTTTTGTTGGTGTTTTGGCCGTTTGAAGTTTGGCGAGATTGTTGCTGGCGTGCATAATATCTCGACAACGCAGCATCTGAAAGCAAAAAATCGAATATTCTCTCAAAGAGGAGATCTGTGGCTATCGCGTGAACCTCCAACTTTTCATTCCGATTTGAAAAAACAAAATGGCGGACTTTTGAAAATTTTTCGCAATTTTTTTCTTACTAAATTGCTTAAAAATAGGGTTAAATATTAACGAAAAAATTCATTCGTGGGTCATGCGAAAGCTACACATGTGGGCAATAACCCCTGCAAATTTCAGCCCGATCGGTCGAATAGTTTTTTCAAAATCGTGCACGCCAAGTCAAAAAACGTGGTTTCGAGAAAAACGACTTTGAAGTTTTTTCCGCCAAAAGCACATAAAACGTTGATAAAAATCTTCTTACCCTTACTCAGCGATGCCTGGCCCATACACAATGCCTTCAGTGTCTTCAAACAGTTCATTGTTTATCAATTTCTCGTTCCGAATTTCAATTCGACGCTCCTTACTGACATCTGATGTTCGGCGAGTTGCTGATGCAATGCGGGCTCTATCTCGTTCCTCAGCGAATGCTGCTGTTGCCTTGCCAATTACAACGCCCATTACTTCCATTATTTTTAACAGCGGTTTAAAACCTTCATTGAAATTGCATGCAGCACAAAATGCTGCAATTTCAATTATTTGTTTCCCAGAAAATGTGTGTTTCGGTGCAAAATGCCATACACACGCATTATAGCTTTCGTTGTTGTTCTGCGTGTTGTTCAATTTATAATACACAGCGTTATGAATACACCTTTCGAACCGTGAACTAACGTTCGACTGGCCTGCGACGAAAACTGGAATGTGGTATAACCGAAAGTAAACAAAAGAAAAGACGCCGCTGCGAGCGGTACGTTTCACTGCCAGGTATACGCAGCGCGCGCCGACACAGATCTATTGTTATGCTATTTCCACCATGTTTTCGACCGTTCCGGCCTAAATACCGATATGTACCGTGTTTCTAAGAGTATATAGAGTACGAAAATGATATTTTCAGAAAAACGATTTTTTTTGAAAAATTGACTAGAACTACCCCCTTAAATATTTATTATAAATATTATAAAATATCTATGTCTTGTTGTTTTTCCACATTTGTATGAAAACTATTTATTGATATGATATTTACAAAATTTATTTTTTTTTTTTAAAGATAATGTTCAAAATATCCACCCGACTCTTCTAAGTATAATGCCACTCTCCGCATAAAACTTTGTCGCACTTTTCGTAACATATCAAGTGTTATATTGAGGCTTGCTGTTCGAATTTTTCCAATTAAATCCTCTCGATTGCGTGGTAATGTTTCATACACCTGATCTCGTACATAGCCCCATGCAAAGAAATCCATGGGTGTAAGATCAGGTGATCGCCACTCATGGACATCGCTATGGATACCTATCCACCTGTGCGGAAATCTATTATTTAAAATGCCACGAGCAAGCATGGATGTATGGGCTGGATGGCCATCTTGCTGGTAAATAATATGTGGTGCGATATTTAGGAACATCATCCAGCAAATTTGACAGTGTTACTTCTAAGAATTCCGAATAAACTTGGGCCGTGATATTGACACCTTCCGGAAAAAAGTAAGGTTCAATAATCGTATTGTCCACAATCCCCATCCAAACATTTATATGATATTGCCCTTGAACGTGCGTTTCTTTCCGGCAATAGGGATTCTCTTCCGCGTAGTGATGTTCATTGTGGCGATTAAGACTACCGTCACTCCTTAAAGTGCATTCGTCTGTCCATAAGATTCTTCTGAGGAAGATATCATTTGCAACATTGTCTATGTCAACCTGTATGATAAAGGTATACAATAATATATAATTCATACTAATATACAGGGTGGACCATCTGAAGTGATCCAGTCAAATATCTCGAAAACTAGTAGGGATAGAGAAAAATGTTTCGTATGAAAAGTTTAGGGTTACACGGGGGAAGTATGGTACTGACCTTGAAAAATCCTTGGAAGGTCATTTTGAAGGTCATTCAGGGGTCACGATGGTTTTTTTAAATGG